CTACCTCCTCCGACCTTGTGTAGATGTGTTGCATTAATGACCCAAATGTTTTTCTACAGATGTTCATAACAAGACACCACGGTAGAGGGTCTACTTCCGGTATCTGCTTCGACGCTGCGCCTCTCGTCTGACTTACCAGCCCATCACCGTTATCTAAACCAGCCAATTAACATCAAGGCCGACGCAGGCATACAATCGATCATTTCATTGCTGTTTTATTACTTCCGGTGAAACAACACTGCGATGAAAGGGTAACCCCTATAGCATCTCACTGACCACACGCTAGAAGGACGAAAGGGAACAATCGAAAGCTAGAAGTTTTTGTTCCTCCAAGTCTCGGAGTACTTTTACAGTATGGCGCCTTTCTCATTTATTCATTTAAAGCTTAAAAGTCATTTTTTGCATCTTTATTTCACAGAGGAATAGGTTGTTTCATAAATTGTTGTCTTCCACACGCATGCCTATATCCAGCTCAAGTGAAAGAAAGGACAGATTTGCAGAGCTTCATACAAGTGCTGCGGTTACCATGGTCCAAGGTCACCAGTTCAGCCGTCCACATAATAATTACCTTTTCCGGTGGTCACCATCTCTCTGTCGTTAATCGGGAGGCACTGGTTGCAATTCTCTCTGCCTCCTTACCCTCTCCCATCCTAGTAACAATGCGACTTTCATCTTGCAGCATATTTTTTAAATTTAATAGCAATATAAATGCGCAAGCTTAAAGGGAATTTATCGAAAGTAAACGCGTGCTCGACAAATTGGATTTTAGATTTTTCAATGCGGATTTTTAAAACTCCAAGACAATCTAAAAGTATACGCAACTCGGTTTTGAAAGGAAGTATTTGCATCTTATATAAGACATCAAATGACACGGGCAAGTAATTACAAGAAAAAGTCCGGAATCCACTGAGTAGTAAAAAAGGGATATCAGGGCGCATCGAGGTAAGGTTTAGAAGGCTTCGTGCAACAAATAAGTTAGCATAAGTAAAGACTCTACGGGAGCCTTGATAGTTCGCAAAGACAGGAATCGGGCTTTATGAATGGAGTGCGACACCTCTTAGTGTCAAGCACTATCAGAATCGTTTCTGAATCGAGGTATAATAGAGGCAGAGAGAAATACGCTTTATTTTGAAGGAAGACATCCAAAGTTTTCAGCAAAAACGGCTTAATTCATCGAGACCAAAGGTTAAGGTAATAAAATAGCCAAAATCTAGAGGTTAACATGAAATCCACATCTATTATGAAGATACGTCTAATTTCAACTTCTAGATTTCCGTTTCTGTACACGTGAGTTAGCGTGCTAGGAATGGGATAACAGAGTGCTGGTATGTCAATATATGGCAGGACATATGTTGGAAGCTTCAGCACATAGTATGGGGAGATTAAGTAGCCTAATTGCTACTAAATTAGTGATGTGGATGAGCAACCTCATCAAGAATGCGATCAGTAAATTGCTTGACCGTTTTAAAATGTCGCTGTATTATAATATCAGCTAAAAAGCACAATAAACACCGGCAGTTGAGGAGAGCATTCGGAGGATACGCTTAAACATCAACAGGTAGTGTTTAAGTAAGGGTGGAAAAATAACCGAAGGACATTAGGGAATGAGAGAGAGAGAGAATTAAGGTATTTGTTAATCGCCAGATTGTGGTTTGAGGGGGAAGTCTAAGGATTCAGGACTGGGAGAGGTTCGCAATCGGAAAACGCACTGGTCTGACTTCAGATTATTTAGCTGAAGACCATTGGCTAACGACCATGCTGAGACGCGGTCAAGGCCATCTCTCAGTACCTGTAGATGTATCTTACTTTTGAAAGGATAACTAACAACCACATCCTCAGCATATTTAACATACAAACATTCGTTTGACGATAGTAGGTCGTCGGTGTGGAGGGAGGGGGTAAGATAGAGCCTTGAAAAACTCTGCAGGTTTTGGGAAAGACCGTGGATTTTTGCTTGCCGCATTGAACGAATTGTGGGAAGTGAAATAGCCCCCAAGCCAAGAGGTAGCCCAGCCGTGAGAGCCGCATGTAGATGTTTTTTTCAGAATACAATGAATGCTTAGCAGGAGAGGCACTAAGAGCAACTTGTATAGACGTCTAAACAGGACCCGGGAAATTAACAGTCCATAATACCATGTGGCTTTGCGCCAAATACCGGGGAAATTCGACTGAAGTCTAAGGTGGGAGTTAGAAGTAAGGTTTGAGTGAAGGTCAGAGTTGAGTTAGGTTCAAGATTATGTAAGGAATTGAATTGAATTTGGGTTAATAATAGGCCTAGATTTAAGACTAAGGTTAGGGTTTAGTTTGATGTTAGGGTTAGTGTTAGGTTTAAGACACGAGAACAGGTAATTTTCCTAAACTTTATCCCAAGGCTAACTATTTGAAGTACGCGTGGGTTTCCCGATCCCCGTATCCTGTTTAAGTGGCTATACAAGTCAGCTTTACCAAAAAGGAACCGGTTTAACGTACCTTCTGTGGCATGGTCTAATTATTACTGGTGGTGGTGGTGTCTTCCAGCAAATTTAATGCACATGCTTCAGTCCTGGTCCTCGTCCAGAACCAGAATCATTTTCCGGTTAGGGTGGGCATGAGCGTTGTCAAAATAAATCCACTCAACTTTAATTACCTCAGAGCTGCTTTTGCTGTTGCAAGGGAGTAATGCCTTCAGAACCAAACAGCTGCAGCGGACATTCGAGGGTTCAAGGTCACTTGGGCATCGCACTAACTGAAATAAAATTGCCCCATATTTCTTAACCCCATGCTCTAATATGTGTTCACTCGCTTCCACGAACGGGACAGTTTGATCGTCCTCTCTGACGAGGTCTAAAATGTGTGCTAACACAAGGTGGACGTAGGTGTTGTAAAGGCAGTCAATGCTGAGATGTCGCCGCCTAAGTACAACTTGTATGAGTTTAGAAGACGAAGATGCGATCACTGGAACAAGAGTTTTATTTGCCTGAC